GCGCAATAGGCCCTCCTTCGTTGACGACAAGTTGCACAAACGACGCACCTAGGCCTTCTTTTTAACGAGTGGTGTAATAATGTTTTAAGAAAAATACTAACACACATGAATTGATCAAAAGATCGATTTTCTATTTATGAACTAAATTAAGAAAATTTGAAGTAACAATGAGGGTATTTAAAGGTAAAGCTAAACTAGTCCTAAAGGGATTAGAATTCCCTAAACTATGGAAAGTAAATATACTAGAATCCTAAAGATACCAAGCTTATGTGAATACTTAACAATCTAAGAAAATAAGAGAAATAATATCTAATTCGGAATCAACCGTAATCTTCTAGATCCTCCTCGTAACTTGCGGCTCATGGTTTAGCGCACGTCATTCTAGCTGGCCTGATCTACTCGGTCGTGCTCGATTCTGTGATCATCTTGCGCGCCTTTGACCCATCCGTGTTCGACCCAACGAGGGTCGACCTCGGTCCTGCGAGCGACGTCCTCCTGCTCGACCCGCTCGCGTTCGACCATACGACCATCAACCTCAACCTGTTCAACCCGTCCGCACTTGAACTCGTGGACCTCGCCCTCTCGAGCATCATGCTCGACCGTCTCCCACTCGACCCCGTGGGCTTCCACCTCTCGACCGTCGACCCTTGCCCGCCCTGCGGTTTTCCCGTCCCTTCAAGCAATTCCTTGTCCTCAAGGATGAACGAAGGGAAACGGCTACGCATCTCATGCAGGTTTTCCCACGTGGCTTTTTCCTCCGGTAACTCATCCGCTCGATCAAGACCTCCCAATGAAAACGCCCTACTTTTTTTGTTTTGCGGTAATCCAGTGCTTGCCTAGGCTGCAAAATTAGTTGTCTATAGCCTTTCTCCCATCTTGTGTCCCTCACTTAGGCTCTTCTTTATTTGTCCATCAAACAAGGGGAAGAGCTTATTCTTCTCTCCCCGACCGGCCACAACAATCCTGTCGTCGGGGCCACAGCCCATCCCTCAGAAGCACCTGCGCCCGCCACAGCCTCTCC